CATCAACATTTCATGCATGGCTTGGTTCTGCTGAGTGATGTTCTTCATATTGGCTGCCATTGTTGACATTTCTCTAGTTAACCTACCTGCAACTATACCTCCGCCCCTGGGACCTCCTCTTCTACGCATTAGAGGTCTCGGTTGGGCTGGTGGGGCAGCTTGTGAGGGTTCTTCTTCTTCAGGGGGTTCCCTCGTCCTTCTAGGGGCATTTTCGTCAGTGGAACTCATTTTTTGGTTATTTAATATACGACTCGGTTCCCTTCTTCAAGGTTTTCAAGTTCTTATCGATTCGTTTTGCAAGGATAATGTTTTTTCAAGGATAAGAACATTTCTTCGCCAAACTTCTCAAAAACGTATCTTTTTCTTTTTTTTATACGTGTATCGTGGTTAAATGTAAGTTTTTCCCACATACGGCGTCAATCTGTTGACCCCAAAAAATGAACTCAACGGATGTCGGGCCCACTCTTGCTACGTTAAGTGCTGATACGGCACATTTCTACCGGAATGTGAACGGTGGTCTGACTGTAACGAACGTAGGAGGTACCAGCAAGAGACAGAAATGTTCAGGCTCCGGCGGTTGGATTAGGCGGTTTGGATTAGGGCCGCACTTACGCTATCAACAAGTGCTTGACTCGTTTTCCCTAGCTAAATCGCTCCTTTTTGTAATAGAGTATGTGGAAAGATAGATATGAAAATGTATTGTATACTATTGGAATATCAATGTGCGTTCTTCCTTGTGTTTTGTAAGACAAAGCAAAGCAAAGCATATAAAGATGTTCTTTATTTTTCTTGATCGCCCCCCTTTTTCAGTACAAAGAGAGGTTATTTATATCGACATGGTGACCGTCCGATCATACCCACGTGGCGACATCTCCTTGACTGAAGACTCACATCACTGTCCATTCATAGTATTCAATCTTTGACAAAGGGTCAGTCGAGCTAGTGATAGGCTGACACACTGACATGTTAAAGCTACAGACACTTTATTATTGACTTCCCATCAATCAGTTCTGCAAGATCTTCGAATTTGTTGGGAGGCCACGTCGAATTTAGCATACGTTGAGGTCAGCTTTGGGCTTATGGATATCTGATGTGATTGAGTTTCGGTGCTTTAGTACTTCAGACATGAGGGACCTCTACCTTCCCCTTGAGGGGCCTTAGGTAGATCTCCGTTTCTTGACTGGAAGGGACATTAGATGACTTGTGTCTCTGTACTCTCATAACCTCGTACAGTTGCATTCTTTGTTGATCTTAAATGTGTTGACCTTCCTGCTGACTTGTCAATTGGCTTTATGTCCGAGTAAATTTAATCAACAGTCACTGAACTTTCAAGTTGTTACCACTTGCTCGTTGAACTTTAATGCGTTACCGAACACTCACTTATCTTTCCTTATGGTTACACATCCACCACTCACTCCACTCCCGTCTCTTAAAATTAACAGAAAATTACACATGGTTGACTATTTTCTCACGTGGCAAACATCCCACGTTAAATTGCAAACGTGTAATTAAACACACGACTCTTATCCATTTAACTCACGCTTCTCTCCCGTTCTCACGACATCTCTACCTAAATTGAAACCCTGAATTCCCAAATTGAAACCTTGAATTCCCAAATTGAAACCCCTTAATTCCCAAAATCGGTGTGCTGCTGTTGTTGTTGGCAGGTTAACCACTTCTCCGGCGACACGCCGTCTTGGACCCTCGCGTTCTTCAGCTCCTCTAATTGTTACTCCTCTCCAACTTCTCCATTCGAAGGCCGCCTTCGTGTCCATGAGAATGTCAGGCGCTTTGCCCATAATTACGCCTTACTCTTCGTCGTGTTCTTCGCTTGCTCTCTTTATCAATTGCCGCTAGCTCTCGTTGGGTTGATATCACGTTGGACCTATTTAAGTTTTGTGCTGATCGATGGGAATTACATAGGCGCCCTTCTCTCAGACAGACCTGGCTTCATATTACCAAGTGTGCAACTGCAGTTATTATGTTATTTTCCAATGTCCAGTTGGCCCTCTTATGTGCTTTTGGTGTCAGTTACGTAGTCTTGATTTTACATGCCTCAAAGAGATGGAAATCAAAGGATCGACCAGAGATGAAGATCATGCATTTTTAGTCGAATACTGTATTCTTTGCTATGTGCTGCTGAGGTGAACCACTATCACTATATCCTATCTTGTTACCAGCCTTTCTAGCGACTGGTTATCNTTTGACAAAGGGTCAGTTGAGCTAGTGATAGGCTGACACACTGACATGTTAAAGCTACAGACACTTTATTATTGACTTCCCATCAATCAGTTCTGCGAGATCTTCGAATTTGTTGGGAGGCCACGTCGAATTTAGCATACGTTGAGGTCAGCTTTGGGCTTATGGATATCTGATGTGATTGAGTTTCGATGCTTTAGTACTTCAGACATGAGGGACCTCTGCCTTCCTCTTGAGGGGCCTTAGGTAGATCTCCGTTTCTTGACTGGAAGGGACATTAGATGACTTGTGTCTCTGTACTCTCATAACCTCGTACAGTTGCATTCTTTGTTGATCTTAAATGTGTTGACCTTCCTCCTGACTTGTCAATTGGCTTTATGTCTGAGTAAATTTAATCAACAGTCACTGAACTTTCAAGTTGTTACCACTTGCTCATTGAACTTTAATGCGTTACCGAACACTCACTTATCTTTCCTTATGGTTACACATCCACCACTCACTCCACTCCCGTCTCTTAAAATTAACAGAAAATTACACATGGTTGACGATTTTCTCACGTGGCAAACATCCCACGTTAAATTGCAAATGTGTAATTAAACACACGACTCTTCTCCATTTAACTCACTCTTCTCCCCCGTTCTCACGACATCTCTACCAAAATTGAAACCCTGAATTCCCAAATTGAAACCCCTTAATTCCCAAAATCGGTGTGCTGCTGTTGTTGTTGGCAGGTTAACCACTTCTCCGGCGACACGCCGTCTTGGACCCTCGCGTTCTTCGGCTCCTCTAATTGTTACTCCTCTCCAACTTCTCCGTTCCAGGGCCGCCTTCGTGTCCATGAGAATGTCAGGCGCTTTGCCCGCAATTACGCCTTACTCTTCGTCGTGTTCTTCGCTTGCTCTCTTTATCAATTGCCGCTAGCTCTCGTTGGGTGGATATCACGTTAGACCTATTTAAGTTTTGTGCTGATCGATGGGAATTACATAGGCGCCCTTCTCTCAGACAGACCTGGCTTCATATTACCAAGTGTGCAACTGCAGTTATTCTGTTATTTTCCAATGTCCAGTTGGCCATCTTATGTGCTTTTGGTGTCAGTTACGTAGTCTTGATTTTACATGCCTCAAAGAGATGGAAATCAAAGGATCGAACAGAGATGAAGATCATGCATTTTTAGTCGAATACTGTATTCTTTGCTATGTGCTGCTGAGGTGAACCACTATCACTATATCCTATCTTGTTGCCAGCCTTTCTAGCGACTGGTTATCATGTTGTTGTCTTACAACAACAAGAATATGCTGCAAAATGGTCACAATATTGGTGGATGGGACAAATATGAAGGTGGTAAAATACATGGAATGCCTCTGGGAGGGACTATCTTGGAGCAAATTTTTGCTATTGGAGTATAGTAGCTCGGTTGTTGTAATGTGTGGTTGTAATAGTTGTAACTTGGCTTTGTGTACTTTGTATTATTGAATGAATGAATCATGTTATGCCTTCGTTTGTTTCATTTTTGTGGCTGAGTTAGTAGAATTAGATGTTACTTCTGAGGTTATTGAAAATTGCATTTAACATGCGCACAAATTTTCCTTCTGTTCTTGAACTCATTGGAAGAGTAATCAATTCTACCTGTTTCTAGAGTAAGCTCAAAATCTACAATTGAATATCCAGTACTAATTTATAGAAAACTTTAAACTAAAATTTAGAGATTCAAGGCTAAAACTGTAGTGTGTTCAAGAGACCAAAAGGCAGACTACATTTATTAGAGTTCGTTCCTGTTTGCTCGATGCCAAATCAATCATTTATACCTGTTCCAGATAAATCATTCTCCACCTCATTTTCACTAAAGTGACTCTCAATTCTCCACCTTATTCATTCATTCATTCTCAAAACCATAAATATAAACCAGTACAACAGAAACCAGTAAAACGGAAGCTGCTAGATGTTGGCCAAAATATAGTCAATTCATTCATTCATTCTCAAATCATAAATATAAACCAGTAAATTGTTCGAATGTAACCATTCATTCAAAATACATTCATCCATGATGGTATAAACCAGTAAACTGCTGGACACATCATTAACAAGATGGGCCCCCTAGCTGATTGCTTCAGTAACAACCAGGGAATAGAATGTATCCACAGATAGAAGCTTTCCCTTCATCTCGGGCATATTTTTGACTGCTTCTAGGACAAGGATAACTCGGTCCAATTCTTCCTCGGCAGATTTGGATGCCTTTGGTCGGGTTGATTGTGCACCTAAATCAATAATATCTGCCCCGTCTGATAACATCAGTTGAACCTGAGAAACGGAAGACTGTGTGGATAAATACTTTCCCACATCGCTAAAACTATCTGGTGTCACGTTAAGGACACCAGTAATAGAGGTTTTTGATGACATTACTTCCCACAGCAATTATCACTCCCTGCTCTTTAGAGTGAACTTCCACCGAACTATCATGAAAATAACGGGAAAAGCAAAAGCTTGTTGTTGCAAATGAAGGCAGAAATGTTTTTAGAGTATGTGTGCCAAAAAAAGTTACTATATGTATACCTTTTTAGGCATAGCCAAAGATGCACTAAGAAGGGCTGAAATGGCAATAGTATCAATTTTGATACCAACAATGACAAATTACTAAACAAGTTCACAAGTCATACTATTAGAATAATGGGAAACTTAGTTAGCGACATAATGCTTCAATAAAAAATAGAGCAGCTGCTAGAATGAAAATACAATCCCTGAGCACAAAGTATGTGCATGATATTTGTATAGTACTTTATGCAAGTATTCCTAGCTTTGGCATCACCAATTTACTTTTGTAAAAACCTAACATTCTAAAAAGATCATTAACTTATCCAGTTAGCATATGCCATACATAACACGAGCATGGTGCAAACATGAATACTAGTTAGTTATTTAAAAAATTCATCCAAGATAATAGATTTAGAAAGATTCACACACACAAGGTGTTTCCAATTGACACATTGAAACACATACACAGAAGCCACACAAATTTTCATGATAATTCATATTGCAGCTGATACCGTTGAAGCTCACACAAAATTAGTGCATGAAGGGTCCCTAAAGAAGGGAATCGTTCTTGGGAACGGGGCTAAACGGAACTCCCTCGCGAATGGCTTTAGCGTTCCCTTTGTCGACTTGTGGCTACTCATGTCACGATTTAGGGGTAGGAACAAGAAAACTAGACTAACTACCGGCGGCTGGGAGCATCATCTTTTGCTCCCTATCAATCTTCCTCACTTGTCAAAAAGAAAAGAGTGGATGCAAGCTCACTAAACACATTATTATGATGATTCAGATGCAAAAACACATGGATGCACAAAATAATGAGTTAATTTAATCAACACTCACTCAAGTTTAAATTTGTTACCACTTTGAGCTTGCAGATTCCTTCGTGAGCTGGGGCGATGGCAGATTCCACCAATTTTCGCCTGTCGGGGTTTGAATTGGGAATTAAGGGTTTGAATTGAATTGGGAATTAAGGGGTTCGAATTGGTGAGCAGAGAAAATGAGAGAGAAGAGTGTTTGAAGAGGAGAATGTTGTGAGTTTAATTACACGTTCGCAATTTAACTGAAGGAGTTTGCCACGTAAGAAAATCATTATACACGTGTAATATTATGTCAAATTGAAGAGACGGAAGTTCAATGAGTGGTGGATGGGTAATTATAAGAAAAGATGAGTGACCGTTTGGTAACCCGTTGAAATTAAGTGAGTAAGTCGTAACAAGTTTAAAGTTGAGTGAGTATTGATTAAATTAACTCCTTTTATGTCCACTTGGCTATAAAGAGTGGCTGTCTACGTAGAGTACTGACTTGGGGCCTCTAAATTCGGGGGGTAACAGTTATTATTGTCCAACCATCAATCTCAAAATATGATAGCTATAAACAATTTTTGTTCATACATATAATGAACAATGGAAATCGGAAGCATTTCTTCCCACTTCCTTGTTACAACTTTTATCCCAAACACCTGAATCAAAATCAGACAATATTACAGTATATATCTAGTTTGGAGAACGGTAACTGATGGGTAGCTTGAGCTTGCTGACGGCGAGTATCCCGCTGCCAAGCAGGAGGAGATTCACTGGGCTGGAGGTCCCAGACTTCTCCTCCAGCTCCCTCAGAATGGCTTCCGTCTGGGTCCATAAAAGCACGCCATTAACAGTTGCCAACTGGTGAATAATCAAAATTTGTTTCAAGTTTAAGTTCTAACACCGTCTTTTGTGCGGGTGTGGACTGTGCGGTGTTGATGCTGATTATTATATTTGTGTGTAAATATGTAATAATTTTTGTTTGCAAGAATGAGTCTTGTGAATCCAATTTCAACAACGTATCAAACAAATTCCATAAACAGATCAGCACAAGTTTTAGTTTTCTTCCCCATCCTTTGGAGAACAAATTGACCATTTCTTTCTTTTCCCTAAATTCCACAAAACAATTTATTTATTTTCTCTAATTTCCATATTAGCAATTCTAACCAAAGAAGCAAATGCATAAGTTCAGAAAAACCCACTTTCAATTTCAAGGCCCATATGTTTGAGAAGGCAAGTTCTGTAAATAGGGTTTTGGAAAATGCAGTCTTGTTGAAGGAGCCTTTGACGAGTCATGAGTCAAAGAGATTCACTTCTTACCGGAGGAAAGAGGTTGTCCATTGCGGCATGTAAACTTGTGGCCAATTAAGCCATATATATAAAGAGAACCTTTTTATTTTTTGTTTTTTATTTCTTTTTGTGGAAGAAGATGAAGAGTGGTGAGAGGATTAAAGATTTTAAGATTTGGGATGATAGGTGGAACATATAAAAAAATTGATTTTAATTTGTTAAAAAACAAAAGTTTTGAGTGCTGAAATTGCAATTTTTCCCATTTTAATTTTGGCATTTTTTCTATAGGTACGAGGCATATCACAAATGGAAACGTTTTTCGGGATTTTCTGCTATGAATCTATTGAATGTTTTTGATTGATTTAGTTTTCAACTTAGAAAAATATTATACTTATTCATTTTTTATTGATGAGTAGATAAGAGAAAAAAAAAGAAAGTAAATTATCTGAAAAATAAAAATCACATCTCACTGAAGAAAATATTTTCCTTGTTTTCAAGGAAAATATGATCAGGTGACTAAAAGTAGGAAAATATTTTCCTTAGAAAAAATTATCAATCAAACAAAACAAAAATAAGAAATTAGTAGAAAAAACACATTTTCCATAAAAATATTGGCAATCAAACGCACCCGAAATGCTTTCATTTCTTATGTAAAACCACATTCCATGGAAAATGTTCATGAGAGAAAAAGTTGGTAAACTCGTATCAACATAAAATAAAAGGAGAAGAATAAGAAATATATTAACATTTTATCTACCAAGAATGACACTAATAGTTACATTGTTTGAAGATACATCATGATTTCCATTCCACATATCTGCATTCCCAATCCCAGAATGTCTCATTGAAGTAAAAGTAGGTTGTCTTGGCATAGGAAAAGTTGCATTCTCACTCTCCAACATCAATACAACGGCCGGCATGTTTGGTCTGTGACTCGCCGTGTCTTGAACACACAGCATGCCTACATGTATGCATCGAAGCACTTCTTTTCGGTTACACAAGTTTACGATGGAAGGATCGACTAGCTCAATTGCTCGGCCTCCATCCCAAAGATCCCATGCCTACAATGGGAAAAATTGGATAGGTTGTGATGATTTTCATACATAAAGAATGTTTAGAAGTGAGACTTTAATAGGCTTACATATCCAATAATGTTTGAGTAATCAGTTGAGCGAAAGCTAGTGTTCCTTCGGCCAGATACTATCTCTAATAGCAATACTCCGAAGCTGTAAACATCCGACTTCACAGAAAAGAGGCCTTCCATTGCATATTCGGGCGCCATGTAACCACTGCATAGTACAAAACTTTAGTTGATACATACTCTGTACGAAAGTAGATAAAAAAATATTTTCACGTGCAAGACTATTATTACTTACTATGTGCCCACGACCCTGTTTGTATTCGCTTCATTTTGATTCCCTCCAAATATTCTGGCCATGCCAAAATCCGAAATCTTTGGGTTCATTTCTTCGTCCAACAAAATGTTGCTAGCTTTTAGATCCCTATGTATTATTCGAAGTCTTGAATCTCGATGCAGATACAGAATCCCTCTTGCAATACCTTCAATAATAGCAAAGCGTTTCCTCCAGTCGAACTGGGCTTTCTTAGCAGGATCTGCAATAAGTTTGACAATGTAAGCCTAAATGAACATTCTGCACTAAACTTAGCCTATGGTTTAATAATTCATTCTTCAAATTTAAGAATGACTGACAAAAAAATCCAAAAAACTAACCAAAAAGAAACGAATCCAAGCTTTTGTTAGGCATGTATTCGTAAATTATCATTTTTTCTTCTCCTTGGATGCAGCAGCCCAAAAGCCTAACAAGATTAATGTGTTGTAGTTTAGTCATTAGTGTAATTTCATTCTTGAATTCTTCTAAACCTTGACTTGATTTTCTGGAGAGCCTCTTTACAGCAATTTCTTGATTCCCCGGCAGCATACCCTGAAGATAAAAAGAAAAGATTAGCTTCATACAGTTAGACAACGAAGAAAACATCATATTCCTCATCTGCTGAGGTGAAATTACCTTGTAAACATGTCCAAATCCTCCTTGTCCGAGTTTATTCTCATCCGAGAAGTTGTTTGTAGCCACTGCCACACACGAGAAGTTGAACAATGCTAATTCAGTTCCAGTTCCTGGCTGCCCTTCAACACTAAGATCAACAGGTCCTGAAAATTCGCTGGAAAATTCCCCACTTGGACTGACTTTAGGAATTTCATTGTTCCTCTTGTTTAAACGATCTATGGTTAAACACGAGTGTTAGAAGTGTACAGCTCTATGGTTAATCTTAAGCCTGTACTAGTAACTTTGTACTTTCAAATGACATAGCAGAATTTTACCTCCAAATCTCATTTTGTGCCTGCATAGCCAGATTGAAGCACTTAGACAGATGATTCCCACCAAAACAACTGCTACGATAACAATTTTCGTCACCTTACCGTTGCCGCCTGTTTTAAGATAAAATCATAAACGAAAGAACTACTTATCATTTCCTCAAAAATACTAAGGGCTAGAAAGGAAATTCATGAATTTCATTGGTTTACTTAATGTAGTCGTGTTCATAAGAAGATTTACTTAATGTAGTCGTGTTCATAGACAGTTCTGTTTCTGTGCTTAAACTTTTTACTAATAGGTTTTCCACTGCAAGTTAAAGGTGAGGTATAATAAGAGACGGTGAGGCTCTACCCCTAGTATTAAAGAAAATAGAAGTTAAGAAATCCAAAATTTAGTTAATTCAAAGGCAAATCTAATGCGGGTATTTATAGTGAAATTCTTCTAGTTAAGATAAGGGGAATGCTATCAGAAAGGAAATAGGGAAAATATTAAAACACATACAGCAAACAAAATCTCTGTAATCAGTCGACATAGAGAATGTTCGAATGATGAAATGGTTAAGATTGGACAGTATAATTTCCACTTTCCAACCCAGTGTACAATGCGCACAACAAAAAATTATCTTACCTAATTCAGAACGGTCAAGACGAACAAAGAGAGTGCTTCCGCCTTCGACAAATTGTTCGATGTCAACCAATTCCCGACTCCATATCATGCAGTTTATGCCACTGACAAAAGCATATGCAGTGCAAGAACAATTCTCCAAACACTTATTTTCACACTGCTTAACATCTTCTGATCCCACATAATCCACAAAATCAGGCAATTTCACTTGTTCGGCCTTGAAAAAACCATCTCTTTTCACCTCAGATAAACACTCCAATTTTTTCCTCCTTGTGCATCCACCTGACCAATTCTCTCTACTCCATTGATCCAAATCTTGTGGTACAAACCCTTGAATACAACTACAAACTGGCCTATTCTTCATATCACATTTTCCGAAAGGTCCACATTTGTTGTACTGATCACATTCTTCATCAACAGGGTGTGACTGTATCAAATCCCATTTCTCGAGGCCTTCATTCCATCTTTCTTGCCTTTCGGTTCCATCCCATCGAATCCAAAACTTTATCAAATCAGTACTGTTTGAGGGAGTGTAGGTAAAGTAAAACCTTCCATCACCCTCAGCGATTAGCTTAAATCCATACAAATATATAGCCCTCATCCCAGGAACACCAACAAATATTAGTCCATTCCAATTCCCACTTCTCCATTTCCGACTAGTCCCTTCCCATATCACAATCTGAGGTGATCCACGAGGATCAAGTCCTAATGAGTACTTTCCAACACTCGGATCACTAGCACTTCTCCACGAAGTGAAAACGTGCCTCTCTCCTTCACTGATATTCGTGTAAACTCGCATATCGGGTAAAAATGTGTCTGTTGGATGATCAAAACTCTTCCATAAAGCTTTATTTGGATCACCACTCGCATGACTCCCAAACAGAACAAGATCACCAGTATCCATTAAAACAGCAGTGGAATTATCTGATGCAACTGTGGCATTGGTAGACCAAATCATATCACCATTCTCATTCAATATGATCAAATTTCCATCATTTCCAATTCTTAAATCACCACCGCTGCCACTGATTGGATTTTCTCTATTTGCAACCCACACCACAGATTGGTTTTCAACTTTATAGTACCAGATTCCAACGTACCTAAGATCAGAACCCTCTGGACTAAAGAATCCCAATACAAATTTCTCTTCTTTTGATATAATTTCTTCTCCATCTCTTACCGATTGGCCTCTCGTAATTCGATTTTCAGCAGAAATATATACAGAAACTATATGAAAATTGATCAAGAAATACCAAATGAAGAGATTACTGTAACTTCTGAAATTTGGGGCCATTTTAGAAATCGAAATTTTCTTAAGAATGGAGATATTAAATTTTTTTGAATGGTTAAAAAAAAACACTTTTTTGTGGCCGCCCTTTGAAGATTTGTACGATTTTAAAACAAAGTCGAGGAGATTGACTTCAAAGTACTCTTTTTTTGAAAGATTCTTGGTTGACCACCAAAACCCCCCTACGCAATATATACACAGAGAGAGACTCTGATAATTTGTGGGTGCAGATTTGAATATAGATTCACAACATATACATAAATATATACGTAGAGAGAGAGAGAGAGAGAGATTACTTTCATTTGGCTCAAGCCCACCAAATAAAAAACTCTGAAATTTGGTAGATTTCGGCAAAAAAATTGAATTGGACAGTTCGCCTACAGTTTTGACAACGTGTTCAAAGAAAAACATGCGTTCATATTCAGAAGTGATTATTACAATATTGGTCCTCAATTTATTGACGTAGTAACAAATGGGTCTCCTCCAATTTTTATTAAAACAGCGAATTATAGTAAAACATCAGTCCCCCAAGGCGCCGTTGAAATGCCAACCAAAACATTATGTTCTTTTTCTGTTATTTATTATTATAATGATGAAATATCGATAATATAACAATATATGTGGAATAATGGAATGTGACGTTCAAATTTCATTAGAGAAAGAAAGAGGAATTGAACTGTCATATCTCATTATTTTAACTAAATTGTCAAATCATTGATATTCCATCAATATAAATCTATAATGATAAATAACATTATTCTTTTTTTTTTCAACTTTATTATTTTAATTAGCATGTCCTTGTGTCGGTCTTATTCTTTTTAAAATAATGTATTAACATGTAAGAGAATTTACAATGTAACCGTAAATTACTTAAAAATGTAGCACATGCGTAAAATAAATTATGTTTGAAAAATTCATGTTCATTGCAACATAATAAAGACTTCGTCAAGGTGAAGAAGAAGAGAAAAAATAGAAATATCTAAAATTTTATTTAGGTTCAGAAGCTCTGTTAGACGGAATGACACAGCAAATGAATATATATATTTTTTTTTTTCAAATTCATATTTTCAATTCAAATTTAGCCATGATTTTGTTTGATGTTTTAAGAAAATAAAGGACGTCTAAGCAATCCATAAAATATATTGAAGACTATTATTTAGACTTGGGTGTATTCTACTGATATTAATTAGATAGATCGAAAGTTTTTCAATTTCCGAAAATTAGTGCATGTTTGGCAAAGTTTAAAAATAATAATCAATTTTCATCAAATATACTTCTCATCCATTCATTTTGCATGATTAATAACTACTATTCAATTTTTATTCACACACAATGTGAAAATTGTTGCTTAAATTATAATTTAAATATTCCCAAAACAAGTATATTTCTATATTGGATATTAACTATGTAACTATAATGAACGATTGATTATCGACTTCTTTCTGATTAAAGATTAGAAATCAATTTATTGTGCATCAATACATTGGGACCAATGGTGCAATTTACCGTATTTTTATAATATCTACTTCTTGAAAATAACATCTCACCATAAAGAAATGTGAAAAGTTTGCTCCGGCCATCAGTTTACTGTCAATTTCCTTTTCCTGCACGTGGACTTTTTGGTTGTAAAATATGAATCCAGCACCTCCTTCAAACTAGATCTGAATTACGATTTAAATTTTTAAAATTAAAAAAAAAAATTCAATGGAGAAATGCAAAGAAAATGTAAAGTATATTTTTTCATAAAAGTATAATTTACATTTTTTTTTAAATGCGTATATAGGTTCACAAGAGATAAAAAGCTACCAACTCACAGACAATTTTTCAAATTTTTCCCTTGGAACATAATTTAATTTTAGATCCACGAGACGTAAAATTGATTTTGAAAATTTCAATTTACACTATCATTTGGAGATAATTTAATTCGAGTAATTTGCAGTTTTTCGACAAAAGGGCTTAATCGTCATTAATATCATAGTAGTGGTCCACTAGTGTTGTGCATTGTTAAATTCAGACAAAAACAAAAAAAGTCTCTAATATTGAATTTTTTTGTTTCTTGAAAATCTTTACAGAAGTCCTCCAGCACATTTCATTATTACATGGGACATATGTTTTGATTATTTATTAGTTTTCAAGATGTAATTGATTGAACTAGTGACAAATCTTACAAACATTTTATTTTTTATTTCTACTTTTTGAAACTACGATGCCACACATTATTTTTCGGTTAAGTAATCATTGCATCGTGTGAACATTTTTCGGATATACAAACTCACATGTCAAATTATTTTCAAAACTTATTGTGAAAGCTTGGCCCGACCAACGGACAAGTCATGTGCGAGGGATTTGATTCAAACTTTCGTTTGTGCAGGTCCTCCCCATATATGTTTACAGGTTTTTCTTGGGAGTCCAAATTCAAATTCCAAATTAAATGATGTTGGATACAAGTGATGCAAGCGTTAAACTTGGAGGATTTAAATTGCAAATATTCGAATGGTGTCATTTGCTTAAAATGCAATCCTAAACCACGAGTGCGTTTTCATTGTGATTGCTCCATGTGGACAAACGATGACCATTTGATTTGAGAGTTATGAATCCTTCCATGAGCCGGTCCATTTTGCACCAAAATTGAGAACTAGTCTAGAAGAGATTTTTCAAATGAAAATAATTTTTGTGTGGTTAAAAAGTAAGAAAAAATATGATTCACATAAAATGTATGAATAAAAACACTTTTGAAAAAAAAAAAATATTTTCAAAAAATATTTTCCAAACAAGCTCTTGAACACCTCACAGCCTCTTTTCTCTTATTTCTACTACCCATGTTCTCTCATATGTTACCCTCATTCTTCTTAGGTTGTAAATTAGGGTTACGATCATCTTCTTACATGAAAAAGATTGTGTTCTGGCTTAGTCCATCAAAGAAGAATTGTGATATTAGTCTCGTGTCAACTCTTATAACAATTTTTTTTTTTTTTTTGAATAGCAGAGATTTTATAGAAGGCGTAAAAGCAGTTACACGGAGGAAAAACTTCCAACACACGCTCTCCGAAGAGAGATAAAGTGCCACCACGGCCCAAACAATGACCACACAAACTATACAAGACTCAAACAAAAACAGACTATACACGACCCAATACAAACAAAGGCAATCGAAGTCGAAAAACATCTGTGACTTTACCAAGGTTTGAAACCCCTACATAAAGCCAACTACGCAGTCAGCACTTAAGCACCCTCGCACCCATGGAGGCGGGCATTGTCTAGACTACAAAACTGCCAAATAAACCACACAACAAACCAACATAATCCAAACACTATCCACAACACCAAACCAAACAAAACATCCAAACACACACCACCAACGACACACAACAAACACCAACACACCACCACCACCAACCCACGCCAACGCTGGATGACCAGCCAAAACGGCCAGCCGGCGAAACCCCGTTAGCAGCAGCACCCCCGTCGGCACCCTCCGCCTGAGACCTCCAACGACCAAGGCTTGCCACTCAGGACCAGCCATAACCTCGCTCGCCACACCCCTCCGACCGAAGCACCCACGAGCACCACCACGAAAGCTCTGCCGACCACACCACCATCCCGCCCAAACCCCGCCAGCAAAACGGCGAACCTCGGGTGACCACAGCCAACAAAAAAAGAAAAGGAAACGGATAGGGAAAAAAACGGGGGATGGTGGGAGCTTTGGCTCCCACCACCCGGCGAGCACGAAGGATAGGGGTTTAGTTAAGGGTAAAGGGTTAGGGAAAGAGGAAAGATGGTGGATTGAGAGAGAGGGCCGAAAACCTTCACAATGGAAGGAACAAACCTTCACAGCGGACAACCCACAGGAAGGGAAGACAACCTTCATCGGCGGAAGGGAGGAAAACCCTTACTGCTGAAGGGACT